TAGCACTATTAAAAAGTTTATGACTAAAATGACCACAAAATAATAGATTTAGAATTTTTTGAACAATTTTCTCGTGACGACTCAATTGATACTTTTGTGTTTGTTACGAAAAAGCCTTCCATGGTCAACTTGGGGGACTCATTTCCCGATAGTAATGGTCGTAATAACGTGCACTTTATCATAATTTTTATGTAAAGTGTCGTGACGTGATTTGTGAAAACTTTAAAATTCACAATCAATCATGGAATTTATCACCCTCACAATTCATCCAACATCCATCGTCTTCCTTGGGATTAGACGTGGGAAATCATAGAAATTCCTAAAAAGAGATTTGGTAGGTACATCACACAGTTTGATAGATTTTGGTGTGTACTTATTATACGCTCTCCAAAGTTGAAGATTTAAAATGATTCATCTTTTTCGATGAGTTGAATCTTCCGTTACAAGCAAAATGATAGTTGTACTAACCATCAAATTGTCATTTAAAATACATAATAAGTTGTACCAAGATCAAGACACACTAGGCAAGATAGTTTTACTGACGCATCATGCATTGTAACGCTCAAGATGGCTTGGGAAGTAAGATAAATTGGTACGGACCAATATTTCTATTTCTTAAGATGACCAATAGTCAAATCAAACTTTGAGGGAGAAAATAAAAAAGTAATAAATCTAGAAGACCTTTCAGATGAGTTGCGATTGGACCCAATCTTTCCCTTTCACTATGCACTAAATTAAAGTTCCTTTCGTATTCACAAAGCAAAGTGAGTAGTCTTCTGGACCATAAAAAATTGGGTCTCTTCACATGAGTACATAGAATGCCTTGGACTCGATGATAATGATCGATATAATTGAATATACTCTTGTTAACGAGGCTTACGCGTTCTTGTAAGCTCGGAAGTTCGCTGGTAGGACTTCTAGAAGAATCATTTTATGTTCTTCGAAGTACGATTGCCAATCGATCATCACATGTGCAGTATCGTGCACTTTCATATTTTCTTTTTAAGCTGGTAAAACTCGACGATATAGATGGTCTATTTGGGTGAATGGGGATGCGCACATAGAACTCTTTTGACTCTTGCGGTTGCGAGTTGTACTTTTTAGGAGTTTCTTTGAAGATTTCAAGAATTAAGAGGAAATGCAAGATAGCTTGCGTTATTGCTCCACTTAGCAACATTCTCTATAGTGGAAATACTCTAGTCATGGTGCACAATCTCAGTCAACAAAACAATCGAGGTACACAATGAAAATACACAAGTAGGAATTTAAATTAACGTTTGTGATAAATGTGGTGCACATCAAAACCTTCTACCACAAGAATCTTCATTAAAAAGAGAAAGAGTAGATCTTCAAAGGGCAATTGAGATCTCTTTTGCCACCATTTCCAACTCTCACGTGGTACCAAAAACATCAAGAAAGATAACATAAAGAAAAATACCCAAAAAAGAAAAAGAAAGATAAAGCTTTATATAGATGGGCCCTCTTTTGTACAAATAAAAAGGGAAAATTGCTCAAAAAAACAGCTAAATATGTCGCACTTATAGCAATTCAATCCTAAACTTCTCAGCTTGGCCAATTTAATCATAAACTTATTGCATACCAATTTACTCTTTAACTTTTCGATTGTGTTAATTTAGTTTTAAAATTTTTTGACGATTTACCAACTTAGTCCTATACATTTTGATGATTTGTTAATTTTTTGTTCGAAAATCGCTAAAGTGGCGGTCTAGCCAGCGCCGGCCATCCTATGTTTGATCGTTAAAATGTTTAGGACTACACTGTCAAAAGTTTTAGAACTAAATTAGCACAATCGAAAGGTTTAGGAAGAAATTGGCATAAGTATAATAGTTTCGGGACTAAATTGGCCAAATCGAAAAGTTTATGAGGAAATTGATACAAATACAATAGGTTAATGACTTTTTCAATAAATGGGTGACAAAGATACATGCATACGCGTTCAAGGGTCGATTCAAATCTTGATTTTTCTCTCCCTATTAAATTGAGGAGGGGTCCAATTCCATTGCCACTAGGAAAGCCACCACCCTATTGAATTGGTGGGCTATGTCTCAATTTTGACCAATTGACCATGCAAGAACTTTGGATTTTGTGTGTGTGTGCGTGTGTGTGATTGGTTCGGAGGAAAAGGGCAGAATCTTCCCCTAAGCTCGTACAATCCGACTGCTTTCCGACGAAGCATCGCTTGACTTCTTCTATTCAACCCTATCTAGAAGAACATCCATGTTCCCACCTCTCCCTCTTCCATAATTTGCCCGTCATAGACACGTCGGATGTGTCCTCTTGTGTAGGCTCATATAAAGTTGTGATCGACTTTGTTTGATAGTGACTAGGTTTAAAACTTAGGTAAAGTAGTGGAAAAGATTACCAATTTAGGCACATAATTTTGGAATTTGCACCCTCGGCTTAATTCTCGAGTTCGGAAAAAAGATTGGTCGGGTTATCTGTTTGTTTAACTTTTCATGTCGCGTGACGGAGAAGGGGGGGCCTTCTCGTGTGATTAAGAGCGAGATTTGCGAATCGAATTTTATGCGGTCGTATCATCGACCATCAACGAGAGAGGGATTCTGAATAAGGATATCTGCCTAAGTCGGATATGTGAATCAGAATTTAGATTTTTACGTATATTTAATATGTAGTTGGCGTACGCGGAAAGCGTTACTTCCAACATGGATGGTCTAGATGCTAAGAATGTCATAGGGTGGAGCTACGGCGGCTTTACACAAGACAAACTCCTTCTCCACGAGCAAAATTAAAATTCGTTTTCGACATGATTCTTTCGCAAAGACAAAAGGCATGTTATCTTATTAATATCTCAATCTCGACAATGGATGTCCTCCGCACTTATATTTATTCATGCATAACAATATCTAAGGTCATTGAATGATGAGATGGCCTCACGACCTATCTTTCCAATCAAACACGGGGCTCGATCAAATCCGAAAGAATTCAGATAGATCGGGAATCACGCGAAGCGCGATCGATCGATCGATCGAAGGGACTTATATACAGCAGAACGACCCCGTCGCCATCTCTCGCGACGCTCGCGCTCGGAAAGGAGAAATGCCCTTGCACGGCACGAACCCGCCGCACGACCCTGGTCCACGAAAAAAGAAAAAAACCGGGGGAAAGCCAGGAATCCATTCGAGTACCGCGACGCACGACCGGCGCAACGACTCATAAGAATGAATCAAAATCGAGTCAGAGTATGTAAAATCGTGAGCGTTAACCATTACAATCGAAGTCGTCGGCCGTTATGCATCAAGTGTGTCGGGAAGTTGGGACACGCGCGGAGGAGGGGAGCGAGATTTTCGGAATCAACCGCGACGGCTAGAGAAGAAGAAACGGGGGTCGGCCGTGTGAGGGGAGCGTGGGGTTTCGGGTGGGAGAGGAGACAGCGTACGTGGCGGGGTCACCCCCACCACCACCCCTCAAGAATCTCTTCACTTAAAATTATTTTTACTATTTTTTTATTTTTTTTGAGAAAAAGGAACTATGATGCATGAGCTAGTCACGAGTCGCGATTTTCCCCCACTTTTTTCCCCCTTTTTTTTTAAATTTTAATTTAATTTAATTTAATTGATTCTTTTAAATTTTAATGAACCGGGGTTGGGGTGGTTTCTTTTGAAATGGGGGGACGCGGCCCCTGGGATTTTCACAATCCGTGGGACTTGGATCGGATCTCTCTCTCTCTAACCCCATAACACACCACCCCCACACCACGCCACGCCACGCCAATTTTTCGTCCTTAAAAGTTGCTAACCCTCCTCCCTCTCTCTCTCTCTCTCTCTCTCTCTCTTGCAGCCATGCCCCTCCCACTCTTTTGCATTTGGAATTTCCCCCCCCTCTCTCTCTTTCTCTCTCTCTCTCTTTGGGTCGTCCTCTTTAATGCGATTTAGAGATTCCTTATGCGTGGCCCCTAACGGCATATGGAGAGATGCGGCTGATTTGGACAAGTTCATGAAATGTTTTCGCCACGGATTGGTGTGGGGTTCCCCCCCCCACCCAAAACCCAACCTTATTCGATTCATTAATTAGTGTCTTAGAAAACGAACGGCAATTTAAGAGAGCGTGGCTTTCACGGCGGATCGCCCGCCCCCTTCTTCTTTCGTATGTATCAAACATGGTCCAATGTATGCTCGAAAGATGATTCCTAATGTTAAAACACCCCCCCAAAAAAAGGAACAAAAACAAAGACAAAACAAATGATTGCCCGCTCGATATATTGGTTTTTTTGGGATGACGAAAGCTGTTGATTTTTTTCCTTTCCCAATACGTGTCTATAGGACAAGAAACTATATCGAGTCAGGGAGCGAGGCCGGGTTAACAATTAAGTTAGCTCTCGTCAAATTTCAAAGAGCTCTCCACACTCGACAACAAATTAAAGCGTCCGATTATCAACTTTGGTTTCCCGTGGCGAAATTTTCTTCAAGGAAACTACATGCATCTTTCCCTAATAATTGTCTGATTTAGATGGAATCGAAAGATTATTTTCATCCGATGAGATTGGTCCGACACCACTGAAAGAAACGTCACCCAATTCCAAGCCCAATACAGAAAAAGCAAATTCATGCCAAAATCATAATTAATTCAACTTTAATGATTTATATTAATCACCAACCAACTAGATATTTAAAAGCCCCAGCGTCAATTCAGAAGAAAAATCAACCGAAAAAGAAAACTCAGAAATAAATGCTCGTGTAATAGGAGGACCCCGGCAGGAAAGATCCTTGCAACGACAGGCCCCGCAAATACACGAAACCCCAGGGGCCTCCGCTGCAAAAAAAAAAAAAAAGAAAAAAAGAGAAAACCACCCCCCGAAAGCAGCGTCAAAATATCGCGATATAATCGGCGCTTCTTCTCGCGGTTCGCGTCCCGATGCCCCCCCCCCCGTCCCCCTATAAATACATAGCTCGAGTGAAGCCAGGTTTGCCAAACTCACTCCCCAAACCCCCCCTTCTTTTGAAAAGAAAAAATTCCAGTCTCTCTTTCTCTCTCTTCCGAAAAAGAAAACGGAAATCAAAACCTCCACTTTCTCTCTCTACTGCAGCAACAGAAGAATGGCGGCGACCACCAGGAGAAGCGCCCTCCCCGGGCCGAGCGGGCCGGTGCTCCGCCCCCTCTACCCCTACGGCCGCTTCCACGCGCCGCCGCCGTCCCGCTACGCCTCCGCCTCCTCCTTCGCCTCCTCCTCCTCCTCCACCTTCGCCTCCCGCGCCTCCGCCGCCGCCTCCGCCACCTCCTTCTTCCGCCGATCCGCCTCCCCGACGCGCGTCAACCTCCACTCCCCCGCGCAGCCCTCCCCTTCCATCCGCTTCGCCCTCGACCGCCCGACCTCCCCCAGCCGGTCGATCTCCGTCTCGCAGCAGCGCGGCGGCGGCGGAGGAGGGCAGTTCGTCCGGTCGAGCGGCCAGAAGCCGGCGCCGCGGCGGACCTGCATGTGCTCGCCGACGACGCATCCCGGCTCGTTCCGCTGCAGCCTGCACAAGGGCTGCGGATCCCCGAGCGCGGGCGCTGGCTACGCTCCGAACCGGCTGAACGCGAGGAGGTCCGCGATGACGAACTCGCTGGTGAGGATCGGGGGCGTCGAGGGCGACCTGGTGAGGAGAGCGCTGTCCGCACTGATCAGGCCGTCGTCGCACCAGCAGAGGCGGAGGTCCGCGTTCCAGCCGCGCCCGAGCCGGCTCTCGGTCATGTCCAAGGCGGCGGCGGAGGAGCACTCGTGATGGAAAGCCGCGGTGATGATTTCTGAGCCTGATTTTGTCCGATCCGACTGCGGATCCACACGCACGCAACCTCAGTAAGAGCTCGTGCCGCAGCGCCATCCGAGGGAAGGGAGGTTCCAACGACGGCGGCGCAGATCTGAGCTGCTGCGGCGGACGGAGGTTTTTGTGTACTCCGGCGACCGCAACCGCCGCCGAAGAAGATCCGATCCGATGCAGGAGATCTTCAAAAACTGAATATACGATTGTGTAAATAAAGGCAAATATATAATCAATACTTCTCTCGACTAAATTCAATCAGATTTTGGATCATCGAATCTCTGATTAATCAATCAATCTGGACCTAAAAACAAGAGACCTTAAGAACCGATCGGTTCCATTCCCTCCGTCCGTCCTCTGCATCTTCTCGATTCGTCGAAGCCCCCCTAAAACCCTCCGAATACGCCGTCATCGCCGTCGCCGACGGCGGCTCTTACCCCACCGATTTCACTCACCGCCGCGTCTTGGTGCGGTGCGAGCGTTCTCGATCCACCGTGCCATCGTTCGACGTCCTTTCTCCCTTTTTTCCGACTTTCCTCCGTTCATCTGCGTGTGGATTTTCCTCCTCTTTTTTTTTTCCATTTCAGTTTCCTATTATCTTTTTTTATTTTTCTTTCCCTTTTTTGCCTTTTTCCGCTTTCCTTCCTTTCTTGGCCCCTTGTTTCATCACCTGTTTTTGTTCTTTTATATTTACGTATTATTTTTTATCTGACTCGTTTATCTATGTTTTTTTTTTGTATTATTATATGTTTTGCAGGTACCAATACAACTCTACAAGGACCATAACTTGGGGACCCATAGATTCATGGAGTAAGGACCGCCGCCCCCCGGAACGACGAATTCGAACAAGAGAGATTATATTAAATGAGATGGACCTTGCTTCAAGTTGGTCACCCAACAATGACATAAATGACTATATATATATATATACATATATCTTAAGTAAAATTTAAAAAACTTCTCGGGTTGGGTTTCGAATTTAGGGCACTGATTTTATCTAATTGAATTTGTTGGCAAAAGTGCCCACTTGCTGAGCTACGACAAAAGGGGCGAAAAATTGCACTTGAAAATGAGTGATTGAGATTGAGATTGAGATGGAGATGGACTGGCACGGATTGGTGTACGAGCTCCTTTCTAAAATTACAGATGTTAAAAAAAATAGATAAATTATATGAAATTGTTCCATGGAAAAGAGAGATTTGGAAGTATGGGGAGGATTTTGGGAGGTTTTCAATTCCATTGGTGTCGAATCAACAAAGTGGGAAGGAGGGGGGAGGCGATAATGATAAATTATTGTATCACAGAAAGTCAAAGATGGGGGCAAAAAAGAGAGAAGGTTCTCCTACTGAGCTCCCCAGCTTGAAAGATGTCCTTTCGAAGTTGAGAATTTTGAAGAGAGAGTGGTGGTGGTGGCGGTGGCAACTTGCAAGTGAAGGATGAAGAAGAAGATTGCTGCTGTACATTTGTAGAATTATGGGGCGCCCCTACAAGGCGTTGTTGTGACCCTTTGGGAGTTCTTGCGGGGGGCGATGGAGCGATATTGGAGAGGAGAAGATGAGGCAAGCAAAGGTTGTATAAGCTATAAAGGCTTTCTTTCAGGGTTCGAAGATGGTGACACCTCCTTCCTTCCGCCCGAAAATTCTTCCCAAACGCCAATTAACACGAAGCACGTACAGAAGAAAATTCCACCGAGCCCCTCCCACCTTCTAGGAGAAGCCGTTCTCCTATTCCTAGGGGAAGAGAATTCGGAGCACATGCCTTCGATTTTTCGCCGTGTTATTTTTCAGAACTCGAGAGATCGAGAGTTGACTGAGCGAGCGAGCGAGCGAGCAGAAACATGGCACCAGCAGCCTGCCCCCATTGATTAAAAGCGCGACCGTGGCCGAGGATACTTGTCAAATTGATAGGCGCAACGTGCAAGCAAGCGACGGTGGAGACTTAAAACATATTGTATTGTTGTATTATTCAAGCTTCCTGATCCGAACCATCTCCTCCTCCACTTCCTCTTCCTCTCCTTGTCATGGAGAGCGTCTAGAAACGTACAGTTTAGTGGTTCCCTTATTCAAGAAAAATTCAAGGTGCGTCACATTATTCATCGGTCAGGGAAATAGTGATGCGTAGGTAGTGCCAATTTAATGGTCTCTCCCTCTCTCTCCCTCCCTCTCTCTCTACCTTATCTTGCACCATCAGAGTGGCCCCACAAGCTAGGTTGCCCCCAAAAAGAAAGAAAAAAGAACAGAAAACTGGACAATAGCGAAGCTGAGACAGGGGCATCAGGACAAGGACAACCACCTCGGCCAAAGATAAGGTTACCGAAAGTAAGACGTGAGGTGGTGGTGGTGGGGTTGGAGAGTTGGACCGGGAAACGTTACGAAAACAACACAAAAGACAGCCTTTGCTCGGTCCCGGCGCGTCGACGTCCCCACCACCGTCGCGGTTCAAGGACCGCAAAAGATCTTTGAACTGCTAAGGATCGGGTACGCCCGGCGCTCGCCATCGGTGCAACCTCACGAATCTCTCCAACTTTTCGTTCGGAGAGCCGATTTCAGCGTTGCAAAGTTTTGAGACGAAACAAGTTGGAGATGAATAGACCATGCAGTTCTCTTCTATGAAAGATCATAGTTAGCGGGCTTCTTTTAGGTTTGATAGAGTTTTCAGAGGATAGAGTCGGGCAAGATTATCATTAGTCAAGGGTGAGATGATTTTGATGGGCAATAAAGAAAAGTGACGAAAACTCCACATTCTATGATGCTTTCTTTTCTCTGTCACCCAAGCTAGTTGGGGGGGACTGCCGTGCGTGTGGCGCCCACAAGAACCACTGCTTTTTCTCCGAAAGAAAGTGTCGAGTGCGTAAACGTTGTTTAGCGGTGGAGAGTTGGTCCACTCCCACTTGACAGCGGGTGAGTTATGGCGTTCGATCGGGCGAACAGCTAAATCTTATCTCCACTTTTTTCTTTTTGGCCATTCGCCGAAAACCTTTGCCCATCTTTAGCTATTAAAAAGCAACCTTCCTCTCTTTTTTTCCAATTTCTCTGTCTATTCATACCTCGGTCGGTTGGATGTCCATAGCGCTGTTCAGTGGTGTAACCATCTGATCCGCTTTCGAAAATACTACTTTGAGTGACTACATAATGTGATCATCTTTTGGACGTGAGTGTTCATCGTCGAATCGCTCTCTTCCATCCAACGTCCCGCTTTGAGATGTCATGAGCTCCCCGCACGTTTTCTCATCGGTACTGCCCGTATGGTCCGGCAATACCCTCTCAAACATCTCCTCTCAAACTCGACATGATTTGATAGATGTCAACTTGAGTTTGGAGAATAAATCTATAAAATGCCCAGGTGGATGTGTCTTGGTGAAGATACTTGCAGTCTATTCAGGGGATGAAGTAGAGATACGTCGAATGGTACCACGAAGAGCATAATATCATATGAAATGACATTTTATTTCAATGTATTTGATGTGTTCGTGGAAAATATCATTATGTGCAATTTAGATATCACTTTGGTTGTCGCAATAAATGACTATTTCGCTATGATAACGCACTCTCATGTCTTCTAGTAGCGCACTCTCATGTCTTCTAGTAGCCATTGCAACCATAATAACTCCAATGTCGTATCAGCAAGAGCTCGATATTCTGCTTCTATGCAAGAACGAGCGACAGTGGTTTGTTTCTTGCCACGCCATGAGATAAGTGAGTTGCCCAAAAAGAAACAGTAGCCTGTAGTGGAGCGACGATCTTGGGGGTCACCAACCCAGTTAGCATCAGAATAAGTCGTTAGCTCTATGGTAGAATGAGTAGAAAAGTGAAGGCCATGAAATAATGTACCCTTGACGTAGCGAAGAATTCGAAGGACTGCAGCAAAATGAGCCATATGAGGCGCAGTCATGTACTAATTAACACTGTGAATAGCGTCAGGACGGGTAACAATGATATATATAAGACTGCCAACCAACTACCGATAAAATGTATCATTCGGCAGAAGAAGAGTTCCATCCTTGTCAGTGAATTTGGCATTCGACTTAATGAGAGTGGAAGGAATCTTGTTGTCAGTAAGGCTAGCTCGCGAGGTAAGATCAATGGCATATTTTGCTTGGGAGAGATAAAAACAAAAGGATTAGACACAATTTCCAAGCTTGGAAAATAGCTGAGTTGCTCGAGATATTTCATTTCAAACTATTGACTGAAATACTACTAGAGTTTTGTAATGCCAATCTGATTATTGACAGTAATAATCATATCATCCACATATAAAAGTAGCAGAATGTATCCACAATGCGTGCGCTTTCCAAAGAGAGTGTGGTCATATGGACAGAATTTAAAACCAAAAGATTCCATGGTTGAGCTAAATTTGGAATACCAAGCACGAGGAGCTTGCTTCAACCCACACAATGCCTGATGTAGTCAACACACTTTGTTAGATGAATTGGTGTATCCAGAAGGAGGTACCATATAAACTCTCTCTCTGAAATCACCATTGAGAAATGCATTGTTAACATCCATTTTAAACAAAGGCCAACACTTACCAGCGGCAACATCAAGAAGATTGCAAACATAAGTAAGAAGCAACGGGGGAAAAGGTCTCATCATAATCAATGTCGTACTCCTAAATAAAGCCTTTTGCTATTAGCCGAGCTTTATAGCCATCCACAGTACAATCTACCTTGGTTTTAATCTTCTATTCCCATTTACAACTGACAGCGGACTAACTAGGAGGCAAATCAACCGAATCTCATGTATGAGAATTTTCCAAGGTCTGCAACTCACTTGCCATAGCTTGCTGCCAAAGAGGATTAGCACTAGCTTCTTTATATGTGCAAGGTTCGTGAGAGAAGCAATGATAGAGTAACAATGATAATCACGAAGACGAGACAAAGGTTGACTTACTCTGGTGGAACGATGGGCAAAAGTAGATGGAATGTGTGAAGACGTAAAATCCTCGGTTGAGGCACACATGTCAAAAGTTACCGAGGTGGGATGCGAGTGCGGCACATGTGACGGCGTTCAATCTCCGTTCCTAACGGGATTTTTCGGGTCTGACTCGCCAGAGGATGGCGAGGCTAGTGGTGTTGTTTATTTTGTGCAACAAGCAGTGGAAAGTGTCGGAATAACACTCACCAACAACGAGCTCAATGGATCCGAGGTTGGCAGAGAATCGACGCAACCGGTGCAATTGGCGTCACCGCGACCACCGTGAAGGAACACGGCCGATGCAGGTGGCATTACTAAATAGACTCTATGGACGCTTTTTCATAAAACAATGGCTCTGAT